TCGTAAGGTTTTATCGCTTCGGCGTGCTTCCCAATTACTTTGAAACAGCGTCTGAAGCGGTCAGGCTTGCTTTCTTATGTTGTTGACTTTTGGACATGTAGCACGAAGTTCAATTGACTTACCTACATAAGCCATCGTAGGCACTTACACAATCTCTGCTTTTTTATCATTGTCGGCTTCTGCGCAGATAGACGGTGTTGCATTCATTTTGCTTTTGTCCTATTTATATTTATACTTATATACATATACATATATCGTTATTCTCATCTTTGCTTATCTGTCTATATTTAAAATTAAGACCATTGGTGTGACTTTCCCTTCTCCCTTTCTTTTTTCTTTTTTTCTTTAATATGCTGATGTTCCTCTTCTTTCGGTTACTGGTATGCTGATATGCATACTAGATACACCGGCCTGCCCCTCCTCCTCCCCTCTATTGCCCATATCTAGAAATTGGTTTAAAAAGGGAAGTAGCGAAAATCAATTTGATTTAACTATAGGTTGGTTCAAGTAACGTAATGTTACCAAAGATGTGGAGCACAAAACCAGTCGCAGAGATCGAGATTACTAGATGTACGTACATAGTTGGGTCGGGTTATTAAGAACGTCTTCCTGTGGACAGGGGACTGACTTATATGTAAATTTATAGTGATAAAAAAAAGGGGGGGAGAAGTGACTTCAGACCATCACAGCATGCAGCATCGTCTGCTAAACAAAGATAGGTTATTATTATTATTTTTTTTTTTTAAAAAAAAAAAAAAAAAAAAAATTTAAAAAAAAGAGTAAAAACGTTCATCTCGTTCCCCGCTCTCGTGGGTTAACCCCCCCCCCCCCCACCCCCCAACTCCCTCCTCCCCCCTTTCTTTTTCTTTCCACCCCTGTTTCCAATCCCTATGCCGGACGGCCCGAAGAGGCAACCGGAATTTTTCACTCCTCATCCGGAACACCAGCCACGACATTCAAAAAAATCGCCAAATCCGCCAATTCATCTCGCATAATCCAATGGGATAAATCATCATACAGCATAAACGTGACGTTCCAGCCCAACGCTTCCAGCGTCTTCGCAGCGTCTTCGCCAAACTGGGGCAACACATGCTCGTCCAGCGCCCCATGCGCGATCCAGATGGGGGTCTTGGGGGGTGAAGCTGATGACTGTGACTGCGGTTGTGGGTCCGTGGCGACGGGCGGCGGCGGGATGCCCAATATATTCTCTCGGAACCAGGTTTTGGCTTTGACAGCTAGGCTCGGGTCGGGCTCCGGGGCCCTGTCCTTGTCCTCTTCCTCCTCCTCGCCTACCACAGCTGTGCCTGTATCCTTCTCTCCCTCACTCCCAACCAACCTTATCAGGTCCCTCTGGAACGGCAACCAGGGACTCATAGCCACACAACCCCCCAACGCCTCCCCACCCCCATCAGCCTCCGCATCAAAAGCCACCGCAGCCCCCAACGCAACCACACCCCCCTGACTAAACCCGCCCACAATAACCCTCCCAACCCCGCCCAATATTCTCCCTTCCTCCTTCACCAGCTCCATCAAATACCCCACCGACGCCCTGAGCCCGTCCCGCGACAGCTCCCATTCCCGCTCATACACGGGCCGCAGCGTCACGACATCAAACCACTGCGGCATCATCACCTTGCCGCTCGCTGTGGAGCGGCCGATCCTGGCGTCTGGGAAGACGAATTTGACACCTGGGAAGCGCTGGGACAGGGATGAGCGATCCGGGTTCGTGGAGGTGGGGGGCTCCATGGGGGAGGTCATGAGAGCCGAGCTGAAGTCGAGGGAGTTACCACCGCGGCCGTGGAGGAGGATTAGGGTGTGGGTGTGCGGGCCGCGGGGAGGGATTATGGTGGGTTTTGGGAAAGGGGGTGTTGTGATGGTGGTGGTGGAAGTTGGGGGTGGTGTAGAGAGCGGGGTGGAGGCGGAGGTGGAGATGGAATGCGGGAGTGGAGGGGAGAGAGGGTCTGATTTGGTCATGGCTGTGTTTTGTTTTCGGATTTCTTTTCTTTTCTTTTCTTTTTTTCTTTTCTCCTTCTGTTTTTTCTTCTATTCGATTTCTTTTGTCCTCTCTATCTCTCTTCTCCTTGTTGTTTGCTATCCTGTTGGTAGATGTATACGTATAGCACATGTACGTTTACATGCCAAGGGTAGAGGAAGGGTAAAGGTGTAGGATATCGACGATCTCGTGTTTTGCTCTCTTTCTTCCTTCGCATACTCTGTAGATTGCTTGGACGTCGTATCCACGCTTCTCTGAGCAAGCCTATCTTCTCCTTTTCTCAAGGAACTCTTATTCGAATAAATAGAGATCAAGGTGCACGCTCACCCGTTGAGCACCTCTCGCCAACACCAACGAGGCGATCCGCAGCGTTTGGCGTGGGGATTCAGTAGAGATCCTGTCAAAGTTTCTTTGCGTGGTAATCGATATATATCTAGCCACTTCTGTATATTTCTCCTGGTGTCGAAGTAAGAAGGGCTTGTTAACTGCTTCGTGTTAGCCCCCAAGAGAGGTTACCAGATGGGCGATATACCCCGCTTCCTAGCTAGGTAGGATTTCTCCGAGGTATGAAGAGGATTGGATGGACACAGAAACACACGATCTTCCCCTTGGACTATCAGCTGTTAGCTGTTCGTTGGAGTGAGAGATGCAGGATTGCGACAACGAGTGAAGGTAGACATGACATGTTGATATCAAGGCTCCAATTTTCGAGGAGGATTGGATATCACATGACCTGTGTGTGTGTGCTACAGGGAAATTATCCAGCATAAAAATATAGAGTATAGATAGACATGCATAATAATGCGGGCGGGAAATAAGTCATGTTATTCAGCCTCTGGTCCGACAGCTGCACAGCAAGAAGATATGGCCTCTTCTTCGTGATCTGGGAGGAGGATAAGCTGTGTACGGATAATAAATAGTAACTTACTCGGTCGATCCCACTTCTGGCGGGATTCTATCATTGTCTTCCCTGACTCCTCCCTGAACTCCTTGCCGATCAACAGCGGGCAGCCCCTGAACAACCAGGCAAGCGGAACAATCTGTAGGCTACTGGGGCAAAAGAGCTCAATCACCACCAGCGCCTGCTGGTAGAAGGGCCGACCAACCGCGGGACCCCCAACACCCCCCCTCGGACCAGCTACCACAGAGTACAGTACTTCCTCTCAGTGGCTCCCTTCAGTGGCCTCCCCACAATGGCTCCTTTTAATAGTGGACTCAGTCAGTCCTAGGGCTCACGGGACTTCTAGGGCACACTCCTGGGATGTCTCTTGGCACTGTTAAAATGTCCAGGGTATTTGTTAAGAATTTTTAAGTCCATTCTGGGATCAAACCCATGCATGTTGATCACAGCGGGGCTCACACTTAACAGTCTCATAACCTGTAGGCTACTGGGGCAAAAGAGCTCAATCACCACCAGCGCCTGCTGGTAGAAGGGCCGACCAACCGCGGGACCCCCAACACAATCATACGGATGTAATGTAATCAACCACCTAACGCTCGTTTTCACCTAACGCTCGCCTTTGTAAATCAATTACAATCAACTTCAAATATTTATATCTCAATGAATATTTATTTAAAACTATTCTAAAAAACAGAATAATAATTTGTAGATATATATTATATTATATTAAATTTCTATGAGAAAATAACATATAATTATTAATTTATTAAGCTTTTTAAAATACTATTTTAAAATAAAATACACAGTCTATATTTATAAATATACTTATAAATATAAATTATTTTCATATAAAAATTAAATATCTTATAGATTATATATATTTTTAATAAAATATAAAATTTTATCTTGAAATTCTTATTTATTATTGATTTATTTAAATTTTTATGTAAATTTTTATATTTTAAAATACTATTTGTGGCGGGCTGCGTCCGATCAATTATATAGACTATTTCATTACACTTCACAGATTTCTACTGCTCTGATTCTCGGTTGCTGATTCTCTGTCAAAAAACCTCTACTGCTCTGATTCTCAGTCACTGATTCTCAGCTGAAAATCTACAGAATTTCTATTCTTCTGCTCTGAAGCTTCACTGCATATATCACTGTGTATGTATATAAATATTTATTTCAATCACTGATTCTCACACTTTCTCTTTCTTTTCTTCTCTAACATTTTTCACTTTGTTATATAAGATCTATATATTATACTGATCTATTCAGTATAGACCTCTTATATTTGAAAAACATTTATTATCTTCTTATTAGAAATAATTATTTATTGAAGAAAATATCTAAATATGTAACAATGTATAAGAAATAGAGAAACAGTTAAACAGTTAAGCAGACACTGAGTTCTCATTAGTTAAGTGAATACTAAGTCTCAATCAGTTAAGTAGATACTGAGTTCTTAGATAAAAGCTTACTTATCAGTTACTCTGATCTTATAATAAGATTTTATAAAGAAAGTAAGATCTTATAAAAAGAATATCAGTGAAAGATCTGAGAGTTCTGATATAGATATATAAAATATTTATATAATTACACTTCTTCTGATTTTACAGATATTATATATTCAATAATTAATATAATTATGTCTAATGATAATATAAAAGAACTCTTAAATATAAGTATAGATACAGTGTCACAGACTCACAGTAACTTTAAGTAATGTTAAAATTACAATAATAATAAATATCTGATATATATGTGACTTAATAATATTAATATAAAGAGATTTAATAATTGTCTCAATAAGAGATCTCTGCACAGATAATTTCAATATTAATAGAATTGAATATAAATACAATATTAACACTGAAGAAATACTTAAATACTTTTGTATATTTTAACACTTCTGATCTCACTCTCTATTCATTATAAAGATTAGAAATGCTTATAAAACTAAGTATAGATAAAGATATTATCAGTTCATTAACTAATCAAGATTAATATATTAATGATTAATTGAAGAATCACATAAGATAGAAGTTTTATTCATGAATAAAAGTATGTAAATCAGTGTTATAAATATCTGATAACATTATTAAATATCTTGATATTCTGTTTCAAGACACTACTATATAACAGAAAGTATTAAATTGATTACAGAGTACTTCACAGAGAAATACTTCTCTTACAACATTTATTTCTGACTTTAATATTAAGATTCTAGAAGTAAATAATCAATCTTAAGAGAATTGAATGAAGATTAGTATACTTAAGAAGATATTAACTTTCAAACTCTTACAGACTCTTATAAGTGTAGATAAAGATCAGACTTATAAAGGTTTCTGTATATAACTTCAGATATTAAATAATCATCTTATCAAACTTAAGAGTATACAGAATAGTGATAGAAGATGTTACACTTATATATCTATACTATAAAATAATAACAATAATGCAGATGCTATAAACTGACTAGACTTAAATATCTATATATAAGTAAGAATCTCTGCTATTTGAACAGACTTTTAAGTCTCTGAAATCACTTCTGAAGAAGTCACTGATCAATATTAATAAGAAGTATGTATTAACTGTAACTGATCAGAGTACATTACTTTTAACTATTAATCAGTCTACATGTCTTCTTACTTAAAGAATGAATCAGTGTCTGTTCATATCAATTACATTACATTAGAGAAGAATTCAGAAGATGACTATAAAAATATCTTAGTAAAATAGAGAAAAGATTAGCTTCTGTTTAAATTTATAAGCAGAAGCTTGAAGAGGTTGAATGATAATAATTTAAAGAGAAGATAGTAATGAATGCAATTTTTATATCTACTGTGATAGATAATATATATAATATAAAAGTCATGATAGACAGCAGTCTATGCTATTATACAATGATTAAATCTTCAGTTATAAGATATTATAATCTTCAGTATGTTCTCGTATTAAGACTTTGACTTCTTACAGAATTTAATAATTTAAAGAATATTCATATCTGTTATATAATAAAACTAAATGTGATGAGCTGTGTCTGATCAATCATATAGACTATTCTGTTACACTTCACAGATTTCAACCACTTCATTCTCAAACATATACATCTCAATTCTTAGCCATTCTCAATCACTGATTCTCAGCTATCATGAACATGTATAGATTCTTTCACTCCGAAGCTTCACTACATACATCATCATATACATGTATAAATATTCACTTCAATCACTGATTCTCACACTTTCTCTTTCTTTTCCTTCTCTAACATTTTTCTCTTTGTTATATAAGACCTATTAATATCATACTGATCTATTCAGCATAGGTCTCTTATACTAGAAAAACATTCATCATCTTCTCATTAGAAATAATTATTCATTGAGAGATATCTGAATGTGTAATGACACATAAGAAAGAGAAACAGTTAAGTAAACACTGAGTTCTTAGATAGAAGCTTGCTTATCAGTCACTCTGACTCTGTAATAAGATTTTATAAGAGAATGTCAGTAAAAGACTCAAGAGTTCTGACACTCAGATATATGAGATATTCATATAATTACACTTCTTCAGATTTCACAGATATCATATATTCAATAAATGATATAATCATGTCTAATGATAATATAGAAGAACTCTCAAGTGTAAGTATAGATATAATATCACAGTGACTCTAAGTAATGTTGAAATTATAACAGTAACAGATAGCTGATATACATACAACTCAACAACTTCAATATAAGAAAATTCAATAATTAACTTAATAAGAAACTCATGCAATTTCAGCATCTACAGAATTAAATACAAAAGCACTGAAAGAATACTTAGATACTTCTATATATTTCAATACTTTCAATCTCACTCTCTACTCATTATGAAGAATGAAAATGCTTGTAAAACTGAGTGTGAATAAAGATATCATCAGTTTACTAATCAATCAAGATTAATATATCAATGAATAATTGAAAGATTGCATGAAACAGAAGTTTCATTCATGAATAAAAGTATGTAAATCAGTGTTATAAATGCCTGATAATATTATTAAATATCTTGATATTCTGTTCTGAGACACTGCTATGCAACAGAAAGTGTTAGATTGATTACAGAGTATCTGACAGAGAAACACTTCTCTTGGAATATTTATCCCTGACTTCAACACTAAGATTCTAGAAGCAGGTGATCAATCTTAAGAGAATCAAATGAAGATTAGCATACTCAAGAAGATATTCACTTTCAAACTCTTACAGACTCTTATAAGTATAGATAAAGACCAGACTTATGAAGGCTTCTGCACACAGCTCTGAATATTGAATAACTGTTTTATCAAGCTCAAGAGTATACAGAACAGTGATAGAAGATATTATATTTACACATCTGTGCTGAGAAATAATTCAGTCACTTATATACCTGTACTGAAGAATAACAATGATGTAGATGTCATGAATTGAGTAGACTTAAATGTCTATATATAAGCAAGAGTTTTCACTGTTTGAACAGGCTTCTGAGTTTCTGAGATCACTCTCAAAGAAGTCACTGATCAATATTAATGTGAAGTATACATTAACTGTAACTGATCAGAATATATCACTTTCAACTGTCAATTAATCTATGTATCTTCTCAATTAAGAGAAAGATCAGTGTCTTCTCATTTGAAAGATGAATCAGTGTCTGTTCATATTAATCACATTGCAGTGAAGAAAGATTCAGAAAATAACTATAAGAATATCTCAGTAAAACAGAGAAAAGATTAGCTTCTGTTCAAATTCATAAACAGAAGCTTGAAGAGATCAGATGATAATGATTTAAAGAGAAAATAATAATGAATACAATTCTTATATTTAC